ACCCGTAATCTCAAATCTTACCCATCAGTTAACTCAACCATCCACCCGTACATCCATCCCTATACCTACCAGCTAACTCAACCATCCACCCGTAATCTCAAATCTTACCCATCAGTTAACTCAACCATCCACTCGTACATCCATCCCTGTACCCATCAGTTAACTCTACCATCCACCCGTACATCACATCCCTGTACTCACCAGTTAACTCTACCATCCACCCGTACATCACATCCCTGTACTCACCAGTTAACTCAACCATCCACCCTTACATCCCATCCCTGTACCCATCAGTTAACCTAACCATCCACCCGTACATCCATCCCTGTACCTACCAGTTAACTCAACCATCCACTCGTACATCCATCCCTGTACCCATCAGTTAACTCAACCATCCACCCGTACGTCCATCCCTGTACCTATCAGTTAACTCAACCATCCACCCGTACGTCCATCCCTGTACCTATCAGTTAACTCAACCATCCACCCGTACATCCATCCCTGTACCCATCAGTTAACTCAACCATCCACCCGTACGTCCATCCCTGTACCTATCAGTTAACTCTACCATCCACCCGTACATCCCATCCCTGTACCTACCAGTTAACTCAACCATCCATCCGTACATCACATCGCTGTACCCACCAGTTAACTCAACCTTCCACCCGTACATCACATCCCTGTACTCACCAGTTAACTCTACCATCCACCCGTACATCACATCCCTATACCCATCAGTTTACCTAACCATCCACTCGTACATCCATCCCTGTACCTATCAGTTAACTCAACCATCCACTCGTACATCCATCCCTGTACCTATCAGTTAACTCAACCATCCACTCGTACATCCATCCCTGTACCTATCAGTTAACTCAACCATCCACTCGTACATCCATCCCTGCACCTATCAGTTAACTCTACCATCCACCCGTACATCCCATCCCTGTACCTATCAGTTAACTCAACCATCCACTCGTACATCCATCCCTGTACCTATCAGTTAACTCTACCATCCACTCGTACATCCATCCCTGTACCTATCAGTTAACTCTACCATCCACCCGTACATCCCTCCCTGTACCTACCAGTTAACTCAACCATCCACTCGTACATCCATCCCTGTACCTATCAGTTAACTCAACCATCCACTCGTACATCCATCCCTATACCCATCAGTTAGCCTAACCATCCACTCGTACATCCATCCCTGTACCTACCAGTTAACTCAACCATCCACTCGTACATCCATCCCTGTACCTATCAGTTAACTCTACCATCCACCCGTACATCCATCCCTGTACTCACCAGTTAACTCTACCATCCACCCGTACATCCCATCCCTGTACCCATCAGTTAACTCAACCATCCACCCGTACATCACATCCCTGTACCTATCAGTTAACCTAACCATCCATCCGTACATCCCATCCCTGTACCCATCAGTTAACCCAACCATCCACCCGTACATCACATCCCTGTACCCATCAGTTAACTCAACCATCCACCTGTACATCACATCCCTGTACCTATCAGTTAACTCAACCATCCACCCGTACATCCCTCCCTATACCCATCAGTTATTGCAACCATCCACCCTTACATCACATCCCTGTACCTATCAGTTAACTCTACCATCCACCCGTACATCCATCCCTGTACTCACCAGTTAACTCAACCATCCACCCGTACATCCCATCCCTGTACCTATCAGTTAACTCTACCATCCACCCGTACATCACATCCCTGTACCCATCAGTTAACTCAACCATCCACCCGTACATCACATCCCTGTACCTATCAGTTAACTCTACCATCCACCCGTACATCCATCCCTGTCCCTATCAGTTAACTCAACCATCCACTCGTACATCCATCCCTGTACCCACCAGTTAACACTACCATCCTGCCGTACATCCACCCCTGTACCCACCAGTTAACTCTACCATCCACCCGTACATCCCATCCCTGTACCTATCAGTTAACTCTACCATCCACTCGTACATCCATCCCTGTACTCACCAGTTAACTCTACCATCCACCCGTACATCACATCCCTGTACCCATCAGTTAACTCAACCATCCACCCGTACATCACATCCCTGTACCTATCAGTTAACTCTACCATCCACCCGTACATCCATCCCTGTCCCTATCAGTTAACTCAACCATCCACCCGTACATCCATCCCTGTACCCACCAGTTAACTCAACCATCCACTCGTACATCCATCCCTGTACCTATCAGTTAACTCTACCATCCACCCGTACATCCCATCCCTGTACCTATCAGTTAACTCAACCATCCACTCGTACATCCACCCCTGTACCTATCAGTTAACTCTACCATCCACTCGTACATCCATCCCTGTACCTATCAGTTAACTCTACCATCCACTCGTAAACCCATCCCTGTACCCACCAGTTAACACTACCATCCACCCGTACATCACATCCCTGTACCCATTCACCCGTACGCCCCATCAATGCACCCACAACCATCAACGATCAACCATCATTAAATTGTTTGATAGGCATTACCTAGAAGCTGAGGATGACAAAGTAGACACAATTTATGGATAACAACTTCTTTTATGCTGTAAAGGCGACGTTTCGGTATATATCCTTATACCGTAAGACTTCCCGAGTTCGTAGCCTAATGCTGCACTCAACATTCACCGTCCTTGTATATACCAAACACTCAACATTCACCGTGCCTGTATATACCAAACATTCAACATTCACCGTCCCTGTATATACCAAACACTCCAAATTCACTGTCCCTGTATATTCCAAACACTCCAACATTCACTGTCCCTGTATATACCAAACACTCAACATTCACTGCACTTGTATATACCAAACACTCCAACATTCACTGTCCTTGTATATACTAAACACCTCAACATTCGCCGTCCCTGTATATACCAAACACTCAACATTAGCCGTTCCTGTATATACCAAACACTCAACATTCGCCGTCCCTGTATATACCAAACACTCAACATTCGCCGTCCTTGTATATACCAAACACTTAACATTCACCGCCCCTTGTTATACAAAGCTATCTACAAATAGTCTGGTGTATTTCTTCACGCGCGTGACCGCTTCATATAATTTTATGTCTATGCACTTTACAAAGCGTGTTAGCCTTTGCTTCCGCAGTTCTATGCACATTCTAATAAGACGAAAAATCGCTAAGTTTCAAAATGAATAATCTCTCGTAAAATCCCGAGACCTGACATAAAACTTGGTAACCGTGTCACAAGAACGATGTCGTGCCTTTTAATCCCGAATCTGTTCAAATTACGTCTTTGTATTCGCGTCACCTCGCAAGTTCATTACACCCCAACGGGATATAAAATCAGAAATGCGTAATAATCCGAAAGGACAATGGAAACAGTTTTGTGATTTCGTTAAAAACTCTCTTTCTACTCTGATCACAAAATATGATTTTATTATTTTTTTCTACTGGTTTTCGAGAAAGATGTCGCAAGGACATACAAACATGGTGGTTATATAACACCTTTGAAGCCAAACGTGCTCAATCTACAAAGACAAACGCCGGACAACGTTCCACATAAAACATCCACCTTTGAGCCACCGCTTCACCACTCTTCGTGCCCGCCCATTTCATCCCTACTTCATATGGTTTTATTGGCGGGTAGACGTTTTTCTTTATAAGAGCACAACCCCCTAAAATCAGGGCGCCCAGGGCAGCCATACAAACTTACACAACAACAAAAAGCGTTCCTAATTCGCTTTCAATGACGAGACTACTTTTACACTTAACCGGCGAGGGGGCTTATGTAAATGAGCAGTTATAGCCTCTTTTTGACACTGTCTGGAGTCCGATGCGTTGCAAGCCAACATATTTCAACAGAACGTAGCAATGAAATTTAAGCCCTCCACTCCCCCTCTCAGACCATCCGTGTGGCTTTTGTGCCCCTTTGACCCGAGAAGTTTTTTTATTTCAATTGAAACGTCTCTCGCAGCGTTTAAGTGCATATGTTGGCTGTTTTTTTCAAAAGAAGAGAACTTACTCCATTGAATCCACAAAGCAAAGAGAACAAGCCCATACAATGTACATGGTTTAGTGCTTTTAGATGCAGCTATGTATTTTCTTTCAACAATCAAGGAGCATTCCCCTTCTATTTTATTACAAACGATACAAAGGCAAAAATCACACGTTAGTATTTGGCGTAGTTTGATGTGTGGGTGTGAAAATGTGAAATGTGATAAAAACGAAACTGACAGATTTATATGTATACAGTATAAAAGCAAGAATAGATGTTGCATGTGATAAAGTTCCCAGAATACGCTTGTAGGCGGTCAGTGGACAGTGTTCACAAATCCCTTACATCTAACAACAACCAAGTGTGTCCTGGGTAACGCGATACATGTGTCAGTGACTATCTGTACGTGAAACACTACACAATGTGAACAAGCAGATATGTGTCGCTCGTGTGGGGAGCTGCTGAACTGGAGAGATTAGCTTGCGTAGTTTATGTCGTTAATTTATGCATATAGTCGTCGGCTTGCTGCAAAGCTCAGACCAGGCGTACAGCAATTGTGTATATTTGTGAAATATTTGATGAAATGTATGTATAAGACATCCAGAGCTTTCTCCTTTCATCTTACAGTGTTCATGGTCGATCTTTGCCTGAGTGAGTGAGTGAGTGAGTGGGTGAGTGAGTGGGTGAGTGGCTGGGTGAGTGAGTGAGTGAGTAAGTGAATGGGTGAGTGAGTGAGTGAGTGTGTGAGTGAGTGAGTGAGTGAGTGAGTGAGTGAGTGAGTGAGTGAGTGAGTGAGTGACGTTTTACGTCGCCTGCAATGTTGCAGCACATTTGCAGCGATTTGAACTCTGAGTGAGTGAGTTCTATTTAACGCCGCTTTGAACATTATTTCAGTTACACCATGGCGCCTCAGCTTGATATGGGAGGATGAACATTTGAAATAATCCTAATGCATGACATCACATATGAAAACAAACAAGATAAATTATGTAATAAAAAAGTTTATTTACAATTCAAAAATGAACATAACAATGGATTGGCGAATGTCCTGAAGACATGGACACTAGCAACGCTCAATATGAATGATTAAATACTATCATGGTCTTCAGACGGGTAATAAATGACTTTTCATAAAACAGTACAAAAATAGAAATAAATCAAGTCCAGCTTGTTGTCGACACCTTAACCAAACTGTATCATATTGCACTCTGGGGGGTGGCTTAAAATCGGGAACATACGGAAAGTTTTTGTTTGTCCAACATTAAACACATGATTTACTTTGGATGGCTATTAGACAACCAGAATCGCCCGAGGCTCAATAAACCACCACGAGTGCTGCTTAAGTACGGCGATTAAAAATTCCGGATTTCTCAAGTGGCCGTTCAAAACTTCAAAAGATTATAAAACGAATTGAGAACAGCGACCTCAATCTCAGAGCAGTAAATTTGGAAAAAAAAGTGAAACGTAAATTTTAGGGGTCAAATTACTAAAACATGTTCAATAAATTGACTTTGAACTGGAATTTATTATTGCTAGACGTTAGTGTTGAACGTAAACAACGGTTGTTCCAAAGTCAAATATTGACTTAAGAACGATTTTAAAACTGGCCATTTCCACTTTCCCCGTGAAGCTAACGTGATGGGCGGTTGTACAGCAGTACTACCAAACACAAGAACCCGAGCTAGCAAATATGGTATGGTGAACAACAATGCACACGTGACAGGCAAAACGTCAATCAAACAGTGGCAGCCAATCAAATGGAAGATCGCTGTGTGGAAGACCGCGTGTTTTTTTCAGATGCAAAACGTCACAAATAGCATGAAATACAAACCACGAGGTGTCACTCACAGTTATAACAGCACTGACCTTGAATTGAAATTTACAAAGGTAATGTTAATTGCACTTGCCGCTCCTCCAACGAGGAATACATGTCTATTCTGAATCTGTTTCCCCTTCTTTTGAACTAGAAGCAGACACACTAGGGATCTGAAAGTTCTCCATGTCGCTGATATCAAATTCCTTTTCTAGCTTAATGTCTTTTGGGTCTTTGCCGTCCATGATTTCCTTCATGAAGCCGATGTATGTGATGGCAAGTCGGAGGGTTTCAATCCTGGACAGACGCTTCTCGTAGTTAAACGCTGGGAGACGCAGTCTCAGACTGTCAAAAGCTTCATTTAGATGAAACATCCTCTTCCTTTCGCGGACATTGGCTGCTTTTCGCTGAGGCATCGTTTGAATCCGTTTTCGTTTTGGTTTTCCGTTCGGACTCATCTCCGTTGGGGACGTTTGACTTGGGGTTCTACAAAAAGTCATGGAGGGTAAAACTGACGTCACCGGGGTCATCTGTGACGGCGGGGAAACGTCTTGTTGCTGTTGATGATGCCACACTGCGTTTGGTTGATAGATATCAGTGGAAGCACTGGGCGTGAACCCTGCGTATAAATTATGCATTGCAATGTCACTTCTCTCATGAACTGGATAGAACATTCTGTTTGGGTCTGGATTTTGGTAGCAGTCGAACTCGTTGTAGAAGCTGCTGTTGTGGGACGTGTCGCTGGAGTAGGTTGACGTTGAGGAGTACGGCGAGAGTTCCGTCGTTGTGTAGGGGATGTCGGTGTAAACAGTCTCATCCCCCATCAGCCTTCGTTCTGTTTCCATCATGTTGATAAACAAGGTGCGAGCCGCACTCAACCACTCAGAGACGCTGTTAAAGCTTAACAGTAAAGTTCATATGTACGACTATATGCAACAGATGGTTGCTGTCACAGCTAAACTCAACAGGTAGCGAGACACGAAACTCTGACGGTAGGCACTGAGAGTCGAGCTGTTTTACCTGTAGCTGCACAAGGTATGTGAATCCTGTAGTACAAGCCTCATATTTATACCCTGTTAAGCCACAGGTAGCAAGTTCAACAAAAGTAATCGCATTGAAATTTAAATGCAACAGACACGCGACTCTTGATTGGCTGATGGCCAGGTAGGACTTCAGGAAGCAAGTCAACCACGTGTGAGAGGCGGGGCTTAGCCCATCCACGTGACATCACCTGTCAATCATGTGCTAGGCACGAGCCAGCGCGACCCAAGCACGAGGGGGTTTTTACCCTTGGGCGATTTTGTTTCGGTTTGCGTTGTGGATTTGTCCGGCGAGGAGTTGGGCAACGTGCCTCGCTCGAGTAATTCGACAGCATAGATGTCCTGCCTTGACAATTGTAAATGGGTTAGGGAAACTTGTTGCTTGAATCAAGATCGCGGCGTGATTAAAATGAAATTTTCGTTTTCAGCTCGCATAGCTACATTTCACCAGGGTTTGATTTAACGACAACACTGATTTATAGACACAGTATAAGAACATGGATTGTAAAATTGTATTCACGTACAAGAAGCGCATATATATAAGTTTTTAAATACGTGTATTTTTATATATATTGTACCAGTTTAAAAAAAAACTTTGGGTCCATTTCGATCCAAGGGAAGTTTTTGTTCATACAGCAATTTGATGCGAACTTGCTAAGTGTTGCGTTTCACCCTCAAAACGGACCTCAATACCCAAATATATTAACTTTACGTAAATTGTTTATATTTTGAAGATTCTTTTCTAATTTGATATATCGATAGCAGTTAGAAAAATATGATTATTAAAGGTCATCCCACAGAAATAACGACATTTATCCGAGGATGAATGATTGTAGGAATATTAAATGTTTTTCCTATTTGGGAGAGAGCGTGTGGATAGAGTACATCATAATATATTCTTTAAAGCAGCATATTATCAAAATACAGAATTATAAACTTGAAATACTCCTACACAGTCGACTACCGACGGTCACGTAAACAGAAAGTGTTTTCTTGTGAAGACCGCAACATGAGCTATGGATCACTCTCGCTTCCTTGTAAACAATTTAGCCCGAATTCTGAAAGAAAGAATGGTGGGTGATTTGAGAAGGTTTCTGAGAATGATGCGAAAGGCAGATGGATGAATGAATGTGATACACGTCTGAATAAATGACTGGGACGTGAAGGAAACATGAAGGACGGAATGGTTACGTGTTGATAACCAGCCTTCGCACGTGTCCATGGATATACAGGAAAGGAAACAGAAAGGACAGAATGGTTACGTGTTGATAACCAGCCTTCGCACGTGTCCATGGATATACAGGAAAGGAAACAGAAAGGACAGAATGGTTACGTGTTGATAACCAGCCTTCGCACGTGTCCATGGATATACAGGAAAGGAAAAAGTCGTGAGGAATGAGAGAAGGAAGAAATCAGTTCATAACAACTGAACAGATTGATGGAAGAAAACAATGGGTGAAGGATGAATGAGGGAAGAATACACGGACGAGCGAAACGACAACAAGTTCACGAGAAGTCGAGTGCCACTCTTGTATCAAAACACGGAGTGGGACAAATCTGAAACTCGCTAACAATTTAATCCTAATGACTTAATCTTTGCCCATTGAGTGTTGTGGTGCTGGAGGACGGCTGTGTCGCTACACTACTGTCTCGCTGTAATCCCTTACCAATAGAGCAACGATTACCTTCTTAAGGTACATTCATTATCAATAAGTTGACATCAAGATTGGCAAATTACTGTGTCACATACGAAAATATTTGGCAGATATTGACCGTATTATGTTCAGAAGGGCGACGAAATATTTAATTTTCATCGATGTTGTTTTTACATCCAGTCTAGCAAAGCTGGTAGTTGGGGAGTTTAGTGTGGTGGAAGGTGTTGAGGGATAACTTGGATATGGACAAGGATTCATATCCTTTCACTGAATCTTGATAACACAATGTTGAACATTCCAGCGGAAATTCCAAAAACAGATGGTTATATTTTTTCTTCATATTGTGAAGTTTTGAAAGTTTCTTTGAGATCACCTGACATGATTGTATTTGACTGTAAAGGAACGTAGATGACAATACGTCTTAAGTCGATAGTGTTATCGAACTGGAACCTCAGTGAACATCTACGTCATAATCAATGGGAAGGGAACCTCATTGTACAAGTACGTCATAATCAATGATAAGGGAACCTCATGGTACAAGTACGTCATAATCAATGGGAAGGGACCCTTATTGTACAAGTACGTCATAATCAATGATAAGGGAACCTTGTTGTACAAGTACGTCATAATCAATGATAAGGGAACCTTATTGTACAAGTACGTCATAATCAATGAGAAGGGAACCTCATGGTACAAGTACGTCATAATAAATGGGAAGGCAGCCTCATTGTACAAGTACGTCATAATCAATGGGAAGGGAACCTCATTGTACAAGTACGTCATAATAAATGGGAAGGCAACCTCATTGTACAAGTACGTCATAATCAATGAGAAGGGAACCTCATTTAACACGTACGTCATAATCAATGAGAAGGGAACCCCATTGTACAAGTACGTCATAATCAATGGGAGGGTAACCTCATTTTCAAGTACGTCATGACCCATGCGTGCAGTTGTGCAAGGAAAGGTTTATACTTGTGCATTTACTTCAACTCTTAACAATCTCCAGACGCGAACGTCTCCTCATTGAGCTGCAGACTCACAAACAAGTTCTTAAACATGTGCACGCCGATGGAGAAGTGAACTTATCCGCATTGTACGTCGTCATTTACTGCCACCAGACGCAGGGGGGAAACCTGTTACCCCGAACCCGGATGGGAAATGAGTCAACCAGCAAGTGGGTTATCGCGTGGGTCATTTCAATTCTTCTCCTGACATCACAAGTCAAAGTTTCCGATTATATTCAATCTCATTTCTTCCCAACTTCCCGAGGAGCGAGGTGAAAAAGAAACACCAGTCTCAACTTCACATCGTTGTCTAAACAACGGTGTAATTTACACCCTCAAATGCAACTCGGCGAAAATAGAAATCGCGTACATAACGATAGGCTTTCGTTGGCTACTTTACACGTCATGAGGAGTTTGGGTGACGGTATCCCCGACAAACACCATGTCGATGGTTTCGGGCTGATGATGCAGGTTCCTGATGCGGCGGTGTTGGGGGAGAGGTGTGTGTGTGTGTGTGTGTGTGTGTGTGTGTGTGTGTGTGTGTGTGTGTGTGTGTGTGTGTGTGTGTGTGTGTGTGTGTGTGTGTAAGCCACTTCTTCACTGAGCCAGGTTAGATTTAGTTGTTCAATATTGAGGCACATACGACAATCCAAGACTAACACTGGTTTAAATTCACTATTGCTAGGTATGATTTGTTTGTTGTGTTACACACAGTCAGCACTTTCCCAGGCTTGTCGACCAGTTAATAATCCAGTCGCGACCACTTTGTGTTAATGACGACATGAAGCTAGGTTGCAGAGCCTGGTCATACGACTTCAGCTGTGGTCGGTGTTTAGACGTATGAGGTTCTTGGAAACAAGTTTGGCCGGTAGCAACCCTGCCCGTGTCATATCACGCTGACATTCCGTGGTGTAGTGGATGGAGCGTCTGTCCGGAGACCGCCTCCGTGGTGTAGTGGATGGAGTGTATGTCTGGAGACCGCCTCCGTGGTGTAGTGGATAGAGTGTATGTCCGGAGACCGCCTCCGTGGTGTAGTGGATGGAGTGTCTGCCCTGAGACCGCCTCCGTGGTGTAGTGGATGGAGCGTCTGTCCGGAGACCGCCTCCGTGGTGTAGTGGATGGAGTGTATGTCTGGAGACCGCCTCCGTGGTGTAGTGGATAGAGTGTATGTCCGGAGACCGCCTCCGTGGTGTAGTGGATGGAGTGTCTGCCCTGAGACCGCCTCCGTGGTGTAGTGGATAGAGTGTATGTCCGGAGACCGCCTCCGTGGTGTAGTGGATAGAGTGTCTGCCCTGAGACCGCCTCCGTGGTGTAGTGGATAGAGTGTATGTCCGGAGACCGCCTCCGTGGTGTAGTGGATGGAGTGTCTGTCCTGAGACCGCCTCCGTGGTGTAGTGGATAGAGCGTCTGCCCGGAGAGCGGAAGGTCTGTGGTTCGATCCCCTGGCCGCGTCATACCAAAATTCGTAAAAAGATGGTACTTGTTGTTACCCTGCCTGGTGTTCGACATTAAGGGGATAAAACAAAAATTGTTCGGCTCGGAGTCAGGATATAGTGCCTGAGAGTCAAACTGCGGCATGGTATCTCAGTGGGCCATCATGTTAAACCAGCAGAGGTCCGGACTATTACAAACAGAAACATACACACGTGCATGAACGTCGCTAAATAAGTACAATACTTTTGAACGCGACGTTAGGCCCCACTTCACCTCATCGCACCTCATAACATGAACTCTGACACAAAACAGTACAGTTAACTACGTTTATAACGAACACGCTTATAACGAACTGACCGATATAACGATCTTATTTTATAGTCCCGGCCATTTGTTGTATATATGTTGTATATATGCTTATAACGAACTACGGTTATTACGAACTAAAATTAGAGGTCCCTTTGAGTTCGTTATAACCGTAGTTTACTGTAGTCTCACAAATTGAATCTATTTCGGGAATGGAAGCTGGACTTTCACCATGGAGACATTTAATAGAGGCTGGAGCAAAAACAAGTGGGATGGTGGTCCCGTGCATTAATATCTTCTATACAGGCTGGTGCATGTTCCATTGAATATCACACATTGATCTTCCACACTTATCACGCATGTTTCCCGTCATGCCATACCAAGTTTCATGCACCACACACGCCTGCGTTCAATACTCTGTCATCTCACAAACACACACACGTCCACACATGCATTTAAATAAGACATTTGTTTATGACTCTGACAAATTTATACAACATGCTTAATATCAGTCGCATTTCCTGTTTCGAGAAAAGTGAATTCTTTTGTCCAGGGAAGAGTTTTTAGGTGCCGTGATTCATCATAAATTCACCCACACGACATTGCATTAATTG